TCGTTTGCTTTCCTCCATTTCTGCCATTTGTGACCTGTTTCTTTGTCTCCCCATTTTGGCTGCTTCCCTGTGTTGATAGAGTGGCTTTGCGTGCTAGGTGTCCTGTAGGGCCCAGTGGCTCAGCCTCCCCAGTTACCTGAGGTGGACACTCTTGGTGCACCCCCTCATGAGCTTTGTGCACAGTCTTGTTGTAGCTATGCCTTGGTTGTTGTAGGATCACTGGGAGGAATTGACCTCCAGGGCAATTGGCAGCGAGAATCAGCTGTGTCTGCAGTGGGAGAACTTCTGTGCTGGAGACACCCTTCTGGGGCAAGACTTGCTTCAGTGGGGCTTTGGTGCTCACTGAGACTGCACCCTGAGTGTGTCCCTTATGGATCTGAGGAGTTGTGATCTGGATGGTTCCCCGATGACCACTGGGTACAGTGGCTCTTGGATCTAAGGAAGTGCTAATTTAGCCTCTGCCTGAGGTTACACAGCAGGAACTACGAAGAGAACTGCAGATTCCCCTTCCTTTTTTTTTTGGAGTTTGGTGCCCTGATGATGCTCAGCTGTGTAGCAATGCAAGCCACTGTGGGGCCTTGGGCCTTCTCTTGGAAGCTCTGGGTCTATCTGGCCCGGCTGCGGTTAGGTAATTACAGGTTGCAAATGGCCGGGGCATTCATATGCAAAAGCCTCTGCCGCAGCCTGGGCGGGGCGGGGTCTCAAGAAATCAAAGGGCGGAGAAAGCAGCTATGGCGGAGCCTCAGCCCTGCCTTAAGGAGTCGCGAGTCCCAGTGTCCCGGCAATGGCTGCAAGCACCTCTGAGGGAAAGCCACTCTCAAGCTCGCCCACTGCCAGACAGTCCAGTATCTCCCCGTATGAGTCCTGGGTCCCCAGAGACTTCCCGGAACCGGATTTCAGAGCTGTCGGGAGCTTGTGTCTCCCTCCGGATTTAAAAAGACAGCCGCGTCCTCAGGTGCCAGACCCTTTCCGCGCGCGAGCCCCCGTACCTCTGCACTCCACCTCCGCAGCTCCTCCCACTCGCAGTGTGCTTTTCTTTCCTTCTAGTTGTAGAATTTATACTCAGCCAGCCCTCCTGTAGTTCTGGATGATGTCCACCTTGTGTTTTTGATGCATTTATCGATTGTTGTGGGAAGCAGCAATTTCCCAGTGTTTATCTATGCCGCCATCTTAGTTTCCTTATGGGCTATTTAATTTCCAGAGTTAATTTAAAGACTAAACTCTGAGCAGAAAAGTTGTTCTAGATCAGAGGTGGGGAACCTTTTTTCTGCCAAGGGTCATTGGATATTTATAACATCAGTAGGGGCCCAGTGTACGAATTTGTGCACAGGTAGGGTCCCTTGACCTGGCCAGCGATTGGGGCAGATTGGGCTGGCCACCCGGCAGGGGGAGGGACTGTGGGAGGTTGGCTGGCTGGGGGAGGTTGGATGCAGGAGCACACTGACCACCAGGGGGCAGCTCCTGAGTTGAGCGTATGCCCCCTGGTGGTCAGTGCTTGTCATAGCTACCGGCTGGTCATCTGGTCATAACAGTCGCTTAGGCTTTTATATAGAGAGATTTGCTTAATATAATTCACTTAATAAAAATTTATGTTGCTATGAAAAAAAGCTCCTAGATTTATTGAACTTCTAGTATTGCCTGCAGTTGCCTTGGCAGGGCCGGACCAAATGGTTTCTCCTATGGCCTGAGGGCTGAATGTTTCCTATCCCTGTTCTAGATGGAAGATTTAAAACTCATACTAATCTGTTATGCTCACCCTTTGTAGAAAAAAAACACACACCTTATTTTGTAAGAAAATACTGGTTATGAAGAAAGAAAAAGAAGCTCACAAATGAGCCACAGCACTCCAGACCCACAGGCGACAGCTTTCTGGAAGCCCAAGAAGGAACAAAAGGCATGCATAAAACCAGCTAACAATGGCTTAGTATTTGAGGAATGGGTTTGGCCAGTGCGTAAGCCTAGACTAAAATGTAACGTCGCAATTCTGGGAGCAAAACCATGGGGCAGAACAACCTGTAAGGGTCACAATAAAGAGAATAGGCTAAGATTATTGTGGGTTTTTTTGTGTTTGTTTGTTGTTGTTTTTTGCGGGAGGAGGGTAGGCAGTAAGAGGGCATTGGACATTTTTACCAGAATCCCAAACACACTTAACAGCAAGTACAGACTAAGTGTAGCCTAAAGAGCACGATTGGCCACCTTTTGATGTTGAGTCACATAACCAGGTATGAGAAAGGAGAGATGGTGCAAAGTGAAAACAGTATAGGTGTATAGACTTCTTTAAAAAAAGAAATTTGTGAGATTAGGGACCCAGGAATGCCAGAGATACTCCTTTGAGGATCACATTACAAATAAGACCCTAAGTTAGGAAGGGGCATCTCCCCCACTTTTGTTTGTGAAACACAATTCATTGAGGAAAGTGCATTGCCCCTTAGACCCCCTGGACCTGTGCAGCTCTGAGCAGCTGCTGTGGGCATTAGAGTTCCATGGAGAATGCTGTTGACTGTGTTCCTCCCTGAAGTAGTTTAATGCTAGGAGGGAGAGAATTTGAGACCACTGTTCTTAAGAATATTTAACATTTCCCATGAACTCCAAATTTTCTTGGAAATCAGCAGGTAGGAGTCCAAAGTTGGACCCCAATGCTGCTTCTGGTCTCCTTTATAGTTTCAGGCTGCTGGATCCTGGGGCATCGAGTTACCTAAATACATTTGATGAGTTGTACTTGGATCTTGTTAGAATTGGGGCTCAATCACTCTCAACAGTTTCTTTGCCATCTTCATACTATTCTGGTTTAATGAACACTTCCAGGTACTATTATACAGACTTTCTTGGTCTGGACAGAACCTAGTGATGGGTAGAGTACAAATCCCCAGAGTGAGCAAAAATTTATGTTAAAGCTGGCTCATTACTGCCAGAATCGCAGATCATTACAGTAAAACTTCTTAAATGTTGAGTAAATTTTAGATTTCTTAAAAAGGCACTGACGCAGGATGTGCATGAGCGTAAGTAGCCTGTAATGGGATACAATTAAGGAAGTGAAACTACAATCTGATCACAAAAAAACACTTCCTGGCCGTGAGAAAGGTGGGTATGCAGGAGAGTTTTATCAATGAAATAGGGGAAGCCCCAGTGCCCACAAGATATTAAAGAAGGCTGTGTTTAAGTACACAGGAAACAGCTCAGCCCTGGCCCAGGTGCCTCTTAAAATCTTAACAATGAATTTGCACAAAGAAGTAAAACCTTTTATTAAGGAAGAGGAAGGAGTTTCTCAGAGCATTGATGAATTTTATTGAAGAAAGACAAAATGAATATTGTTGAGAACCTTATTACTGGTATATGTTCTTGGAGATAGCCATCGAACTTTATGCTCTTAAGTTTGTGAGAGGCATTAAATCTGAAGTGCTATACCTTTGGGAATGTTTCCTAAACCTTCAAAGGGAATGATTTCGTATAGGAGGCAAATATAAGGCAGAGCAATGGAAGATATAAAAAAATGAATATAAGTTACGCTTCTATAGTCAGCACTACAATGAGCTAATATACCATATACGAAAAAAAAACTGACATGTATACCTCTCTGAAGGATAAACAGGAGGACTTGTAGACACAGCTGAATACTGCTCTGTGAATTAAGATGGATGGTTTTAGAAATTGAAATCCCTTTTCCAAAATGGATTTGGGGGTGGGATTCTAGGAGTTGAATGCTCTCCGTGAGATGTGCTTCAGGATCTGAAGGCAGGACTGCTGAGGGTGGCTCCTCTGAAGACTTACCTACTTGGCATCCAAGGTACTGCCCTGCTATAAGGCCCTTTCCTCCAGCTGATGAGTGAGCACGCCCTGTGGCCACTACCCCCAAGGCCTCTGACACTAGCATCATGTTTTAGCACATTCCCTTTTTCCTGAGCCAAATCTTAAGCTTCTAAGACTGGAATCTTGAGGCACAAATTATTCTTGAGAAGTATGAAGGGCTCCATAGAGAATAGCTTCATTTTTGAAAACCTATTAACATGTTAGTGATAATAACGATAAGTGACAGAGCAGCTAACACTTGCTTAGCTCTTGCCTTGTGCAAGAGTACTCTGTTCTTCACCCATTTCTTTTAATCCCCCCCAATAAAACTATTACAAAACTATGGTTACATCCATTCTCTAGGTGAGGAGACAGACATTGAGAGCGATTAAATTACTTTCCATAGTAAATGAAGGGCACAGGATGGGAACCCAAAAGCCCTAGGTTTATCCTCTATATTATGCCAGCTCCTTTCTCACCAATCACACCGTATTTCTCAGAATGAGCTGTTCTAGTCACATCAGCCCCCTTTTTCGACTCTCAGCTTTTTCCTGAGGACCTTTATTCCTGCTTGACATTTTACTGTTTCTTCTTTACTTTCCTGGTTTTTCTTTTTAGTCTCACTAAATTTAATTAGTGAAAAAATGAATGATGAAGCAAAATATGGAAGCAAATTCTTTCACCTGAGTTTGTCATGTAGTTGACATAGAAACTGGGGTATCATTTGACTATATTGTAATTCACTCTTAACTTTCAGAGACTATGTTTCATGGTTTCGAGTTTATAGAGACTGTCCTGGGAATGCTATATCAGTTCTACTGCTGAGTGATAGCTACCCTTGTTTTTTAGAACCCTTTATATTGTTTATATATTTATATGATTGTTAAATCTGTCTTTTGGTTCATAGCAACAATATTTGCTCTTATAAACCGATTTGAAGAATATTGGGTTTTGCAGCTCACAGACATTGCTTTCATGCAAATCACATAAGGGCCTTAAGAGCTATATATGCAGACTCTAAAATTCAAGATGAAACTTTCTAAACAACAACAACAAAATTGTGCAATAGTTTATCTCCTTGCATATTTGGTCTAATATCAGTATGTCTTAAAACATCTTACCTAGCACTAATTATTAGGATTTTCAGAGAAACAGAATCATTTAGGAGATATTTATACATAAATGAGATTCTTTATAAGGGTTGGCTCATGGCTATGGAGGCTGAGAAGTCCCATGCTCTGATGTCAGAAAGCTGGATATCCAGGTGTAGTTCTAGTCTGAGTCTAAAGTCTAAAGGGAACCAGGTGAGCTCATGGTATAAGTCTCAGCCCCAGGGAAGGAGAAGACCAGTCCCAGCTCAACACTCAGGCAGAGAGAGAGAAGGAATTCTTTCATCCACCTTTTGTTCTATTCAGACCTCCAAGGGATTAAATGAGGCCCACCCACTTTAGAGAGGGCAACTGTGCTTTGCTCAGTCTACAGATCCAATCAAATTGTAACTCACTGAAAACAATCCTCACAGACACACCCAGAAATAACCACTAGCCAAATATCTGTGCACGCCATGGACTGATCAAGTTGACACATATCATCATAGTGACCAAATGGTTTTTAAAAAATAATTCCCTAGTCCAGCCAGTTTGGCTCAGTGGTTGAGTGTCTAAAGAAGTTACCAGTTTGATTCCCAGTCAGGGCACATGCGCAGGTTGCAGGCTCCATCCCTAGTAGGGGGCATGCAGGAGGCAGCCAATTGATGTGTTTATCTCTCATCAATGTTTCTGTCTCTCTATCCTTCTCTCTTCCTCTCTCTCTAAAATCAATAAAAACATATTTTTTAAAAAAATCATTCCCTAAATTTCCTGAAAATGAGCTTGTGCTTTGCTTCCTATTGTAATACCCGACACATTCTCTGTCCCTGCTCTAGTGTGCTTCAGAGATGGCTCTTACCATGCTGTGTGCTTATCAGGTTCCCTGGGCTGCTCCAATAAGGGGTCCCAAGAAGGTATAGATAGTGGTAGAGGAGAGAAACTGTAATAAATAAGAAAATCATATTTTACCTTCCTTGTGTTTTTCCATTCCTTACATTATGCATACATTCCACATCAACAATTAAGGTGGTATTTACTGACTGGCAACCAATACTTAGAAGTCATCCTTTATTTCTATTTGTTCTTGCCCTTGGATTCTGACCCTTCTTGAAAAATGTTACATAAACTGAAGTCAAAGTCAAGTATTAGCAACAGTTATTACAGAAGAGGCAACTTGCTTCCCTTGGGTGAAAGAAATATTATTTGTTCTCTCTCTCTCTCTCTCTCTCTCTCTCTCTCTCTCTCTCTCTCTCTTTTTAGGATATTGTGTATATTTACTTTTCTGTAATAGGAGAAAATAAGAAAAACTTTATTATGAGAGCCAAGTAAGATTTTTAGGGAAGTAGATACAGTTGCCTCATTTTATAGACATATGCCGGGTTCCCATTTTCTATCAGGTGAAGAATATGACTCAAAGGCCTTTTAAAGATGTTCTTCCTTTGATCTTTACACTGGGACGGCAATAAGCCAATATTGTTGTTTTCGTTAAGTCACTATGACAAAGAAATTTATATGACGTGGCCCTGCTTTACTTCTCAAATGTTGATACACTTCTGAGTCAAGTGGGAGCTAAAGAAGAAACATAATTTAAGAGGTTTAAGTGTGAGCACTGGCAAATAGAAGTACAGATGTTATCATTCTGCTAAATCTTTCTATATAAATTCTGAAATAGAGCCCAAGCATAATATAGAATGATGTGGGATAAGTCCTTTTTAATATTTCTTAGTAATTTCTATAAAAAAAGGAGTTGGGCCCTAACCGGTTTGGTTCAGTGGATAGAGCATTGACCTGCGGACTCAAGGGTACCAGGTTAGATTCTGGTCAAGGGCATGTACCTTGGTTGTGGACACAACCCCAGTGGGGAGTGTGCAGGAGGCAGCTGATCAATGTTTCCCTCTCATCATTGTTTCTAACTCTCTATCCCTCTCCCTTCCTCTCTGTAAAACATCAATAAAATATATTTTTTTAAAAAGAGTTGATTTCAGAAGATGATATACTTATATCTTTATTATTTCCATGTGGTTTTCATTCTTATATAATTTGAATATATTTTCTCATGTCAGAAAGTTTGATCCTTCTGCATTATATTTCTTTTCTTTCCATTTCCTCTCCTCACCCCCACCTCTTACTATAGAGGTAAAACTAGTTTACAGAGGTCCTGACAAACACAGAGACCATGGAGAAATTCTGACTAATTTGTCAGAAGAGAGACAAACTGCCAAGTATGATCAGATAATCTTTTTGTCATTTACTAATATCTGTGATGGTCTTATTATGCCTACTGGTGGGTTTGTGCTTGTAAAAAAAAAAACATACCAGTTTAAGAGTTTAATCATTACTAAGAATCTGGTATTCTGGCAAAAGAATGAAAGAACTAAGTTTATTGTGTACTAAATTACCAATGAAAAGATATCTTACTCTTTAAATTGTTGGATACACCTACCTTCTTTTTTCCCTATTAGAAAATGTGAATTGAAATTCTATCATATGATAGGCACTATACTAGACACTGGTGAACGAGATGAAGAACATAATGCTTGGCTTTAAAATTTTCACAGTTGAGATAAGTAAACAGAATTACAATGGAATATAATAAAAACATGTACACATATGCAAAAGATGATGGAGGAGCATAGAGGAGAGATAGCTTACCCCTTTGTAAGGGGAAGTCTTGAGGAAATCCTTTCATTGAGGTGAAACTTGAAGTGGAACAGTTGGTAGCAACATGTGGATTACAGATGTTTCCAGAGAGGAGAGGCTGTACCAAGAAGAAAGGACTCAGCCTTGATGAGGGACCTTCATACATTGGATGGAGCTGGAGAGAATGCTGAGGTGTGAAAGAAGCAGGAGGGAAAGCTAGAAGGTGGCAGATGACAGATAACACAGAAGTATTGTTACCACTGAAGAAAGAGCGTTGTGATGAGGTTTGCATTTGGGAACCATAAGGTTTAGAACAGATTGGAGGGAAAAGATACTCAAGACTGGAAGAACATCTGATAGGGATGGCAGTGATCCCAACAAGAAGGTAAGGGTTGGACCAGAAGGAGTTGTCCACTGAGTTTGGGCTTATATATCTGAGGAATCTGGGTTTACAAATGACCAAGCTTACATTAGGCTTAAGTAGAATAATTAAAGATAGAGTATTAGGTGGATATTACCCACATGTGGAAGTAGCAGGGATATATCTAGCCTGACCTCAGGGGCAATGAGTCAGTAACTCAGATATCTTCAGAATGTTCTCTTTGTCACTTTTCTTCCTGTCTTGGTTTCATCTTTTCATTCCATTCTTTTCCATACATCTAGAACTAGGGTCACTGTCAGCTCAATCTCTCTACTCTGAAGGAAATAGGTTTTCTCCCTCAACTCTGTTTGGAAAAGGTCTGGGGAAAGGCTCTAAGGTCTGCCTTGATCCAGTGTCCATCCCTAAACCAGTCACTATAGCGAGGAGAGCGTGGATCTTAGGATCAGCTTGGGTTAGGCTCATGGTCCTGAATAAATCAGTGTAGTCAGAGAGACGAGCTGGGCTGTTGCCATTAGGATCACGCAAAGAAGAAAAGCACAAGAATGCCCTTGGGGGAATCTGTAAATTGGGCAGTCACCAATCATAGTCTGCTAGAGGCTGGATTGGGGACTTTAGGAGGAATGTCTGAGTAGAATCAGTAGGACCTGAGGAGTTGACTGGAGGATGTGAACGAGAAAAGAATCATAGGGAACATAAAGGCAGCTAGATAGATGATGAGCCTATTCACCAAGCAGTGATATCCAAAAAATAATGTCACCTGAGGTATAGGAGACTTGAATGAGGTGAAGGTTCTATCCCCTGAGGTACAGGAGGGAAACCTGACTGGGAACTGGCAGGTCACATAAAATAGTTACCAGGCAGCAAGAGCTTAGCTGGAGTTGGAGAGCTTCACAGGTATGTCGTTTTCCTTCCATAGTCAGAGGCCACCTCAAAGAAGGAAAGACCATGAGGAAAGTTGATTTGAGATTTTGCAGAGTATGTAAAATGGAACAACAAGGATAGCGAAGGGCTTATGGGCATTAGCAACCAAATGGCTAAAGTGATGGATCATAATATGAAAAGGAAGGGACTAAGGATTGCAGATGGAATGATAGAGACTTGGAGTTAGTGTGCTTGGCTGACTGGTGTAGTGCAGCTGTGAGGATGGACGTGATGGACCTGGAGGATAAGTTGTGGAATGGAGTGTTTAAGATTTGAGGGGAGAAGGGGACTCTTAGATGGAACATCTGCATTCTTTATCTACATCTGTGCTCTCTTATGCCTATGGATGAGCTGTCTATGGAGCCCGCCATGTGTCCACTAGCTCCTGTCTAATTATTTTCTCAAAGAGGCAACACCAGCAGTTCTCACCTCTGCTGGGTCAGCTTCTCTTGATCACTAGGTCTTTCCTTTAGCATGCAAAGGTGCTGCTTTTTCTCCTGTTTTAAAATAAATCCACTCAACCTCTTCTTCTTCACCATGTAGCAAAAGTTCTGAAAAGAGTTGTGTAGGCTCCTCTCTACATTCTCTCTTGAACCCTCTCACCAATCAGACTTTTTATTCACATTTCTCTGAAGTGCTCTGAACAAAGTCACTAATCACTTCAGTGCTGCCAGAACCAGTGGTCATTTTTCCATCTTCTTCTGTCTTCCTCCCTGACTTGAGGGTGTGGTGGTAAACAACCTCCATCACACAGGTCCCAGACATTCAGGATTCCTCCCCGCTCTTGTGTCCCTTCAGCCTCACCGCTTTCTCCTTTGTGGTCTTCATTGCTCTGCTTCCTCATCTGTTTGACCTCTAAAGTTGTAGTGTCAGTGGGTTAGTTGTTAGAGCATTTGTGTTTTCTTGCTCACTTCCCTCTCTTGGTGGTCTCAGCCAGTTTCAGGACTTGAATTACCATCTATACATCAATGTTTCCTAAATGTGTGCTTTTCAACCTGGATCCTCCTGGGGAGGCCAGGCTCATACATTCCCCTTGACTATTATAATAGGAACACTCACCTTGTTTCAACCTGACTTTAATATTTCATGTTTGTTAGTTCCCTGGTATTTGATCACTATATCAAATGAATAAAAAGACTTAAAATAGCACAGTGCATCTGTAGGTAAGGTTAGCACTTATTATATATTTGCTTTAACTTGATGGGGTTTTATCTCTGTCAGGGCTGATTGGTTTGACTGAGGCAGTAGTTCTCAAGGAGGGCAGCGTTTCTCC